TGCAAGAGGGATATTGAAAAAGAGAAATATTTTGGTCAGTACACTATAGCAACTTGTTCTATAAAAACGGTTGTATAATTAATATATTAGTATAATATTTGTTTTAGATATATTAAAAATGTCTAAAACAAAATGCTATTCTGTCTCTTCAATATGAATAAAATTCATATAATTATTTTTATAAGGTTGTCTAAAGGCAGAGCTATAATATACACAATACTTGTATTGATAAAGTCTGAATTTTGTGCTTGTAGCATAGATTATTTTCTTAAATTTTAATGTGTTGTATTTTACTTTATTAAAAAAATATAAAGTTTCTATTTTATATTTAATCTAAATTGCAATTTTTAGTTACAATATTGTTAAACCTTTTATTTAGATTCAATTTATTTATATCAATTTAGTAATCTATATATTTTCTAAAATTGCTCTATTCAATTTACAATTAAGTCATAAATCATAATATAAAACTCTCTATATTGTAACAAAATAAATAAAGAAATTTTATGATTATATCAAAATGCTAAATCTAATCAAAGCTTTATGATGAATATAATATAAGAATTAATATATATAATTATAAATATCATTGTTAACATTTCTGATTTTAATGTGACAATGTCTATATTTTCTTATAATATAAATTTATCTTATATACAAAAATATATCTTGATCATTACTAAAATTAATAACCTGATCGAATTGGCCAAAATATTTATAAAAACAGCTATAAAGCAATTTATCTTGGTCATATGTATCAGGATGGAGTGATATTAAAACTTTTATATCTTATTAGATATTATATATAGCAAAGCAGGGATGTGAATACATATTAGAAGCTTTATACGTACTTATGTACATATGTATGTATATCATATCAGACACCCAATTTGTTATACAGATCACAGGAAAAATTTTTTACTATAAAAATTGAGTGATCGATATGTATATAATAGTCTCATTTTTCATAGTAAATTGCAATAGTAGGCTCTTTTTGAATGCTGTTTTTAGGAGTTCTTAATAAGAAACTATGTTCATATAATATAAAGTAACATAGTCTAATAATATATTTACTATATTTAAAATAAGATATATAATAAGTTTAAAAAGAATGTGGCTCTTGAAGTTGGGTTTTTGTTTCATTTTTATATATAGTATTTGCTTATTTAGTTTTTATAAACTTACCAAGCCTGTTTAAAAACTCAAACTACTAGAACTTTTAAAAAAGATTACAAGCAATGATCACAAGGTACAAGTTTTAATTTAAACAAAACTTGTTAGAGTTTAGAAATCTTGCAATTAGGAAGAATTTAAACTTAAATTACTGCTAATATAGTAGTTTAAAATCTAATAGATTAAAACTAAAACTATTACTAAAAAAACAATTTATTAAAATTTAAATAAGTTAAACCAGAGTTTATTATAGATAATGTTAACTTGGTATTTTAAAAAAAGAATCTATTATATTAAAAATTGCTGGGTTGGATTAAATTAAAATTGTAATTAAAAATACAATTGTGACTCACAAAAAAAAAATTGTAAATTTATTTATTTTTTTTATTAAAAATTATATGATTTTAATAATATATATCTTAAATGCATTGATTAATAAGTGGCTTGGTGCTGAGAAAATGGCAAAAGGGAAAAGAGATGAAAGAAAAAAGGAGTGAAAAGACAAAATTTTCAAAAAAAATCTCTTACATAAATTAATTATCTTATAAACTATAGTTCAAAATCATATAATTTTGGTATTATTTGATTCATCTCAGTAAGTCAAATTGAATGGTACTAAAATTCTATGATTCTGAATAATAGTTCATGGGATAATTAATTTTTTGTAAAAGATTTTTTTTGTCAATTTCATTTTTTTGTCTTATTCTTTTTTGTTTCTTTTCTTTTTAGACCCTTTTCTTAGCACCAAACCCAAATAATTTTAAATAGTATATAATCAACACAAATATAATAGTTTTAATACACCACTCAACAAACATATAAAAATAATATAAAAACATAGATTCAATTAATCTAACTAAATTATAAAACTTGTATTTCACATTATATATATATCTAAATTTTTTAATTAAACAAGTAAAATAAAATAATATAAACTTTAAATAACTTATCTTAGACAAAACTAAATAAAAAAGATAGTGTAGTAGTAAATAGTAATGAAAATAAATAGCTTAAATATATCAATTATGTCAAATTAATGGGTGATCTACATACAGAAAAACAGTTTTTCTTGAGTTTTTTTATTACTTTAATAATGCACCAGTTCTTCAAAGTTTGATTTTACCAAAAGCTTTTATTCAGATACATCTTGTGAAACACTTATTGTGTTGCAAATTTGCAAACCTGAAAAGAATGTGTCAAAAGTAGACAAAATAATGCCCATGTTTGAGAATATGTTATTTTATAAGGAGAAGTTCTTTTCTTATGTTTTTGATATCTTTTAGCTTGTAGAAACTTCAGCAATAATTTTGTCTTAAGTAATATAGCATACTTTAACTAAGCTTTTAGGTAAAATTTTTAAAAATATAATTTCATCAATTTGTGTAATTTATGAAAATCATATGAAGATGCCTACAACAAAACAAGCCATTGGGCAAAAAAAAAATTTTTTTTAAAAACTCAATTTCTCGAAGAATTAGAGTAATAGGAATTCAATTTTTATAAAATTACAAAATCAAAATTTTTTGCCCAATGGTTTGTTTTGCTATGGGGGTTCCCATATAACAAAATTTTAGATATAACAAATCGGGTGCCTGATATGTCAGATTCAAAGAGTGAAGATTTAGAATTAAATTGTGTCAAAATGAAATTCAATTCTGATAAACTATTATGCAAATAAAGTATTTACTACAGAAATAATTTTGGTCTATTCAAAACTAGTTATGATATAAGCTATAATACTTCAACACAAGCTGAAATATTTTGGCTATATGTAAAATAATATAATGCTCAAAGAAAACTAGACTTTGGCTTTTAAATCTAAACCCCTAAAAATTTTGAATAATTTAGCCTGGCATGTTATAAATTTAAGTGTTCAGAGTTTGTTTTTTTATTAATATCACTTATATAAATTATCTATTTAGTTCAACACAAACCTTTTATTTTGACCTTACGTATTTCCAATTCAAAGTTCAATCTGACACAACTCTTTTAGATCCACCTTTATTCTAATTTCACAACAATATACTGATTAAAATATTATAAAAATAAATTGATAAAATTAAGGCAAAATCTAAATTAATAAAAATTTAATAATTATAATTATAAAAGGATATTGTTAAATATTGTAGGTTGCTATATCGCAGGTTAATATAATCGACCAATTAGATCACAGGATTTTGTGTAACAAAAATGAATAAAAAATTAGAGTTTTAATATCTCGAAATTTCATTATGGAAACTAGTCTTAGACTTCTAATTAAAAGTTTTCAACACTTAATTTTGTATATAAATGTTGTGCCTCAGATCGATTTTTGCCTCAGGTAATAACTGAGGCACCCAGGTGTTGATCATTTGGCCAGCATTAACTGATCGACATTAATTGGCCTAAACTATAACCTAATCCTTACTCAAACTCTATCCCTAATTTAGGCTGATCAATGCCTGAGGCAAGAATTAATCTGAGGCACAACATATATATGCCTTCTAATACTAGCTCGAACCCTAATCCTAACTAATAATAATTTTAATTTTTTTTTTAAACGTATATTAACCTGCGATATAGCAACCTGCAATATTTAACAATATCCTTATAAAATTCGATCTCTTTAAGCTTAAATTAAATACGAAATTTACTATATATATTTTAAGCTAGGTTAAATCTAATAAACATTTTTATTTATAATAAATGCTGTAAGAATATATTATTTTAGCAAAAACTTGTACTCCCGTATAAATATTTTTATTATTCGTAAGAAATTAAAAATCTACCCTATTCCACGGATCACACGCGGATTACGCACGAGATTTTTAAAAAATCGCGATTTGCTAATACTACATAACCAGAATTAGTTAGGACCTCTGTGGTATAACAATTACACCTTCGAGATGCAACTCGGTAGTAATTATGTGGTAATTAATGCATGCGCATGAAGTATGTAATCATTAAATAGTCATTAGTATTAGTAATCATTTGAACAATGGTCGTAAAGGGAAAGGGATATAAAAGAGAAAAGAGAGAAAGATAGTTAGTTAATCTTTTTAGCCTTTTTGTCTATTAGTTAGTTCTTCATTTAGTTGGTTAGTTGGATTGGTAGATAGTACTCTGGGAGTACCTCTTGGACTTTAAGAATAAATAAAGAAAGCTCATCTGTCAATTGCTTACCTTCAGTATCTTATATAAATAAATAAATACTTGGTTCCGTCCCTTTAATGCTTATAACCCTGAACTGAATTGGCCACGTTGGTACAAAGTCTCTCCCCTGGTTATAACACCAATCACTAATAGTAAGCCTGATAACTATCATTTTTTGATAGATATCATGATTTATTTATTATTGAAGCATAGCTTCAATGATTTGTAACAGTGATTTTGCGAAATTTAAAACAATAATTAGTAATCAAGAACTATTGAAATTTCTTTTTAGTGTTTTGTCAAGCAACATTGATGAATTATACTTGTGATAGTACATAATATAGATGACAAATACATTTAATAAAAATATCAGTAAAAAAAAATATATGATTGTGCAATCAGGATCCGTGAAATAAAATGATTATTGATATTGCTTATTTTGGTTTTTAGATTATGTAAACCAAAATACTTTTTCTCAGCTGTGCATGCATATTGCATTAATACTGCATTCATATACACAATGTAATAGTAATCTTAATTTATTTTTTTATTGGTTTTTATGTGCTGTACTGTATGTACGTACGTATGTACATACATATGTACGTAAGTGCTTTATTAACAATACAATAAAAAATTTATTATGTGAAAAATTCATATATACCAGGAAAATTCTGTAATATTTAAACATAAGAATTATGGCATGCAAAATCAATGTTAAAGGTTTCAACCTCATAAAAGAATTTGAAGGATTTTGGAGCAATTATTATATTGACCCAGCAGTAAATTTCAAAATTTTATTATTCATAGAATTATGAAAAACATGTTATTAAATAATAATTATTTGTTGAGATTAGGGTTACAAAACATTTGGCTATGGTCATGCTTGCCATGCTAATGATTGCACTAATATAAAACCTCCTCTTACTAAGGCTCAGGCCGAGGATTTACTCAGAAAAGATTTAATCAAATTTGAAAATACGTTAAGTCATCATCACTAGGACTTAATTTAAATCAATTCTCTGCATTAGTCTCATTTATCTTCAACCTTGGTTGTAATGCTTATAAGAATTCTACCTTACTTAAAAAAATTAAAAACGGCGATTTTGAGAGTGCTTCTCAAGAATTTGGCAAGTAGGTCTATGCTAGTGGAAAAAATTGAATGGTTTGGTAAGATGTCGTGAAGCTGAAAGAAAATTATTTTTACAATAATTAAGTGCATGCTCTTTGCAAAATTCTCTAATAATTATAAAATAGCAGAATTTCTGGGTGGATCAGAGTAATTTGGGAGATGAGATTAATCTATAATAGTAGAAATATATAATTACACCTATGAATTTTTTTTATTATATATTATATTACCTATGAATCAATAAAGATTTGACTGTAAAAGTATACATTTGTTCATGCATGATAGATATCGATCAAGTATGGATTGATCTTGTACAACTAGGAAATGTAAGAGTGTGAATTGATTTTATAATAATCAGTTTAATTGTTATAAATCAGTGCACAAAATTTACGGGTGATATAATATGATTTTTTTTTTCGAAAGAATTTTTTCCTAACTGGAACTTAGAGTCATTGGCATAACAGAAAATTTCCATCTCTTAAAAAATCGAGGCAGAAATTGTCTTACGTAGACGAAAATCTCCATAATTTTACAGTAAGTTTTGTGCTTAATATAAATTCGCTTTTAAGAAATTATACAGATTTCCAAATTAATATTGAATATATGTATATATGATTGATAGACAATCTAGAATATCCACTATCATTATCACGAAAATTGTGGGGTCACACCTTTTTGCAAATTGTTATCAATCAGTAACATTTATATTTATTTAGAAATCTGTATAATTAAGATTTATATACGTATTCACATGGCTATTACTTATGCAAATTTAGACATAATCATAGAATTTTTAGTCACAAAGATATCGTTACGTATTAGTTAAAGTTAGAAATTGATCTTTTGATGATCCAATTCATCATGCCAGCAAAAAATTCGATAAAAGAAAATCGAAAAATAAAAAATATCTTACAAGATGACATGTAAATACGGAACTAAACGTCATAAAAAGCAATGAAATGGTACATTCTAAGGTAAGTCGAATATTCTATCGATATTTAATATATATATATATATTTCCTTTTCCTCAGAAAAAAGTCATTTACACATGTACACACATCGTATACAAGACTTGTATATATAAGTGTAATCTAGTAGATTAGAATCAATCTTACCATTACATTATGTCAGTGATAAGCAATTGATTTAAATATACATATTTCTAATCATGATGCAATAAGTGAATATTATTAAAATTGATTACTAATCTATTTGTAAATTAAAAGTCACAATGCACACAAAATACATACAAGGTTTTATATGACTTCTATATATGCCGTAAAATTAAATAGTGACAAAGAGCATTACTTATGCTTACTTTCAATGCTTTCTCACTCATGTCAAACCTTAAATTATGAATAATCTAAAAGGCTCAATATCAAGTAATAATGCCTTTAATTCCAAAAAGCATTTAATCAAAAAATGTAAAAGATGTGATAAGATAAGGCTTCATAGAAACATAAATTCTCATTCCTGTAGATTTTGTAAGCAAATTAGGCTAAGTTCTAATAAAGTTATAGATGAATGGCTTATTCGAATTAATAATTCAATTTATGTAGATCATATAGGTTGTTTCGAATTCATTCCATACGATCAATTTTAATAACATTAAGCTAATTGTTGAAGAAAGATTTAGCAAAATCTATAAAGTAACTTGTAAGGTAAAGATACCTATTTCCGTGGATCTACCTATTTTCGTGGATTAAATTTATTAGTAATTTATAGGGCTCCTAGGTTTGATTTGGTTTGGTTTTGGTTTGACCAAACTTCAAATTCAAACCAAATACAAACATAAAATTTTACTAATTTTTAAACTCAAACCAAACCAAATTTTTTTTTTTAAACTTAAACTAAACCCAAACTTAATTTTAAGTTTGATTTGGGTTTGGTTTGA